ACATGACCTTACCTTTGAGGGTCTGTGACCTGGAGTTAGCCAGTGAGGTTAATTAGATGAAAGACAACCTTTTGAAGAGAGGATAGTAAGACCAAAGGCACTGGAATCAGTTTGTGAGAAATAAAATGAGGGCACGGACTTTGTCCTATTTACCCTGTGTCTCCAGACAGGGCCTGGCACATAGAAGGGCATCAATAGATACTTGTTGGGTCCAGCAGGAGGTCCAGCTCCCTCCTCAGTACTTCTGAGCTTCAAGGGGAGGTGGGTGCTTCGGTTTTCAAGGTGGTTGTCGTGAGCTCCCTCGGAGCTCCACTCCAGGCACATCCACTCCTCTCTCTTGAGTCTTGTTCACCAGGTGTGGGCACATGAACGCTGGCCGCTTTCTCTTTCCATCCCCGTAACATCTCTAATACAAGGCTGGTGTGTGAAGCTCACCTTTTCTCCACAGCACATGAGGATCACTGCACAGTTCAGAAAAACATGCCCCTTGGAAGTCGGATGAACATTACTGTTCCTCGAGCCTCTGACCATTTCTGCCACAGGAGACCCATTTTAAACCAGCTCTCTCCCTCACTCTCCTTACAAGCGCTCACTGCCCCAGGGGCACAGAAGCCAATACTATGGCACTGGCTTTTGAGAAAAGAAGGAGCTTTATCTCCAGGTCTACTGGCAAGGAGACAGGAGACAGGACTCAAATCTGGGGTTCGGTCAAACATTTATGACTTAGAGGGGGAGGGCTGGTGTGCAGAAGAACTGGTGGGGCAGATTTCCATTGGAGGGCTTTGGAACGTGGCCATTTATGGTAAGATACGGTAAAGGGGTCTTCTGCAAAAGATCTTCCGGCACGTCGGCCCCTGTGCTTCTGAAAGGATTTGGCTTTCAGATTCCGGTCGTGTCCTGGTCCTTTGGTTCCGTGTGGGAGGCAGGGTGAGAAACTTTGGTTCCGGTTGTTATTTGAGGTCAAAATTTTCTCCTCTGTGCACGCTTTGCCTGTGTGACTGGTCTGTCTCTAAAAAACAACTCAGTGTCTTGTTAGAAACAGTATAGGGCCTGTTTGACCTGGTTCTACGGTTACACGCTGGTGGGTCATCAGGTGCTTGGGGCTGGTTCCCCCATCTCCTCTCTCCCTGGAGAAACTGCCGGGTTTTTTTTTGTTTGTTTGTTTGTTTTGCGGTACGCGGGCCTCTCACTGTTGTGGCCTCTCCCGTTGCGGACCAGAGGCTCCGGACGCGCAGGCCCAGCGGCCATGGCTCACGGGCCCAGCCGCTCCGCGGCACGTGGGATCATCCCGGACCGGGGCACGAACCCGTGTCCCCTGCATCGGCAGGCGGACTCTCAACCACTGCGCCACCAGGGAAGCCCAAAACTGCCGTTTTTATCTCCTACACTGACAGCCTGAGGATGGCAGAGTGGATGGAGGGGCTCAATAATTCTGCTTCGGCATAGCAGGTAAAACCCCTTTTGTCAGAATCTCCCTCTTTCAAACTACACCAAAACCTTGTCTTTCAGAACCAAAAAGGACATTAACCTATTTCTAAAAATAATCATGCTCACTTCTTCATCTCCCCTAACATACCCCACTTACCCTTACGCATCCCCCTCACCCAAGTTCACTGGTAAACATTTCAACTCTTTTGCTTCCATTTTCCCTGGTTTTTACGTCCATATCTTTTAACGTGATGCTTACACTGCTATTTCTTGCTTTATCAATTTCAGACATTATTAATTGACTTCTGTACCAGTCAGACTCCATAAACCTATGCTAGATAATTTAATAGAGGGAAATTTAATATAGGATATTAGTTAGAAAGCGTTAGAATTGCTGAAAGAGCAAACAGAGATCAGTAACTCCAGCTCCTGCCTCCCCCAGGGCTGGAGGGACCAGGAGAAGGAGGTGTTCCGGGCTGCTTGACAGGAGGGGGAACTACTGGGGCCACCTGGCAGATTATGTTAATATTATTAACTGCTGAGTCAGTACTGTAATTACATTTTGTTTCTCATACAATTTTTTTTTGTTTTTCCTGAAATAATTGCATTTTTCTGTGATATGCTTAGTTTATTGAATAACTAGTGCCAAGTGTTCCCAAACAGTCTGTGAAAACTCTCTCAATGCTCTCCTCCATTTGGTCCGACACACAGATGGAGTGATTCAGAACGTGCCACTCCAGGATGTGCTGCTTTGGTATATTGATTATTTTGAGCTGAAGGTACTTGAGAAATAACAGAGGCAGGAAAGGGTTCTCTCAGCTCCCCCTTTCTACATAAAAGCAGGTCGTAAAAGTTCCCATGAGAAAGGTGCCCTTCCTATAGCAGGAAGAAAAGAACAATCTCACCACCAGAATGGACCCATGCAAACAAAACTAGTAAAATAATCCTTATCTTTCATTAGTTCCTCCCCCTCACCCATATACCCCAGTCACTGTCCCACAACAGACCATCCCAAGCCCAAGCCCCTCTGTCTTGTCACATCCCCACAATTTATCCTTCTTTGTATAAAAAAGCATATAAGGTTTATGGCCTATTGGCTTCTTTGGGTCTTCATTTTCCTTTTCAAGACTACTATGTACAAATAAAAATATTAAATAACTTTGTATGTTTTTCTCTTGTTAAACTGTCTTATGTCAGTTTCATTCTTAGGCCAGCCACAGAACCTAGAGGGCAGAAGGAAGTTTTCTTCCCCTATATAGATAAGCCGTTGGTTCCCTGTACTTTCCCTGGAGACTCTCCCACCACCGCTGCCCCCCCAGCCCCCAGCCTCCCTGCTCCTGCCTAGGCTGGCTGCTGTGGAGCGGGGAGCAGGGGGCTGGAATATAGCTGTCATGCCAGTATGTCCCATAAGGGAAGCCTCCATAGCTTTTTCTTCCTTGGTTTACTCCCGTACTGTGGTGAAGCATAAGCTCCACAGAAGGCAAAAAGTACAATTTTTGAGTCATGGCTGTCTGAAAACACCTTATCCTATCCTTACACTTGACTGAATTCCAGATTGAAAGTTGTTTCTCTTGCAGTATCTTGAAGGCATCACTCCACCTCCTTGTAACCTTCACTGTTGCTTTTGAGAAATTCAATCTCATTCTGATTTCTGATCCTTTGTACGTGACCTCCTTTTCTCTCTGGAGTCTCTTAGGATTTTCTCTTTATCCCTGGTGTTCTGAAAATTCACAGTAGTGTCCTTGATCTAGGTCTTTTTATATTCATTGTGTTGGCCAATGCAAGGATCTTTTCATCCAGACCAGGAATCAGCGAACTTTTTCTGTAAAATATGAGATGGCAAATATTTTAGGCTTTGTGAGCCATACAGTTTTTGTCACAACTTCTCAACTGTATCATTGTAGCAAAGCAGCTGTGGACAAATATGTAAATAAGTGAGCATGGCTGTGTTCCAGTAAAACTCTATTTACAAAAAGGTAACAGCATGAATTTGACTCACAGGCTGTTTGCCAGCCCCCGATCTAGACTCTAGATACCCATGACCCTCAGTTCAGGGAGATTTTCTTGTTATGTCTTTGATAAAATCCTTCCCTCCATCTTCTCTTTTCTCCCTTTCTAGATCTTCTATTAGTCAGACGTTGGCTTTCTTAGATTAATTCTCTAATATCCTTGTCTTTTGTTTGTTTGTTTGTTTTTGTTTTTCGCGGTATGCGGGCCTCTCACTGTTGTGGCTTCTTCTGCTGCGGAGCGCAGGCTCCGGACGCGCAGGCTCAGCGGCCATGGCTCACGGGTCCAGCCGTTCTGCGGCATGTGGGATCTTCCCGGACCGGGGCACGAACCCGTGTCCCCTGCATTGGCAGGCGGACTCTCAACCACTGCGCCACCAGGGACGCCCTCCTTGTCTTTTCTTATTGTCTGTCGTTTTGTTTTACTTTATGGGAGATTTTTCCCACTATTGAATATTTTTTGTAATTCTATTTTTTAATTTCTTACATCTTTCTTGTTTTTGGATTCTTTTTTTAAACAGTAGCCCACTTCTGTTTTGCAGGTGAAATATTTTTGTCTTTCTACAAATATTATTGTGGAGGATTTATTTTTACATTTTGTTCTGCTCTGGGTGGTATCTCCGTTTCCTCTGAGCAACCCCTTCCCAACCTCTCTTCCATTTTTTTGGTTTCATTTTGTTTCTCCATCTTTTATGCTGGATGCTTTCTTCAGACTTCTGCTGATCCTTAGCTGTTAACTCATATTTAAAAGTAAGATGGAGAAAAGTGATGGCAGAATAAAAATTACCAAATAGTCATAACTACCAAAATGTACTTCCTATCAGCTCTTATCAGACCAACCCTCCTCCAGAAGACCACTGTAAACCCTGAACAAAATAGAACAAACAATCACCTGAAGGCACTACCGAGTGACCAAAAGTGGCCAGATACTGGAGAAGAGTTGACATTAGGAAGCACTGGGTGATTTCTCATTCTGTACAGCTTCTAGCCTGAGAACAAGTCCCAGTCTGTACTACACGAAGGTCAAAATACTACGAGAAACCCACAGACTTGCTGGCTTGAATAATCAAACTCCTGGACAACAACAAAGTGAGGGGCAATCCAAAAAGGAGAGAGTCAGAAAAAGGAAACCCCAAATTCTGTGTAGAAACTCCCACCCCATCTCTGGTTGCCCCCTGACCCACAGTATATCAAGCTGACTTCAAGCAGCTCAGCTAAGGCTAAAGTCTGGAACAAAAATGTCAGCTGCTGCCTACCACAGGGCAGTTTGCAGTTCAAATTCAGACAAGTTAACTTCCTGGCAATTTTTAAAAAATAAATAAATAATTTAAAATAAATAAAAATAGAAGTGATGAGACATTCTGAACGCCCAGGACAGGCTTACCAACTTGCAAGGTTTAAGCGGGGGTCCTCAAACCTCAGGATCTCTAAACATTTCCTGGTCCATTTCCCCAGAGGAGAAGCCACGTCTCCTGCAGGGGTTTAGGCCCTGGCTGCCAGCATCTGCAGGGCAGGGCAGGGCAGGGTAGCTGGAGGGAAGACATATAATTGATCCCCATATTTTACCTGTGTGTTACCTCCACCATCTGTGGTTCATGATGTCCTCATAGCCCGAGCCTCTCCAGATTCAATTTCTAAAGAGAGAAGTTGGGAGTGTTAGAGGGGAGAAGTGTGGTTGTCCCCTCTCTGCAGGTGTCGGGAGGGACCTGGGGCGCTAACTGAACCCAGAGAGATTTTCAACCCATGGCCTGGCTCAGCCCATGTCCCAGGACCCCTGCTGCACTTCTGGGGCCATCAGCTTGCTTCTCCTCAGTGCCCTTCTCTGTGGGCACTGAGGCTGTAGCTTCCCCCTCTCTGGTAGGTAAATCAGTTGCCACTCTTTCATTTATTTTCCATCCTCCGAGAATGTGTTGACATCTTCCCTAGTGTCCCTCATTTCCTCTATCCTGTGGCTTCATCATATTTTATTTTTACTTTGGCAGTCACTTTAGTGAGGTTTCAGGAGGAAGAAGAGCTGATTGCATGAGTTAAACTGCCATGTTTAACTGGAAGGAACTATGATTTGGGAATATGCCCAACAGTTAGCAGCAAACGGTCACAGCATCGGGCAGCCGAGGAGAGGATGTGCCTGGAGTGCTGACAAGCTCACCCAGCGGCTGCCCTGGAAAGGCAGGTACAGACAGAGAGATTTAAAGACCACCTTCGGAGGTTCATAGTTGTCCTTTATTTCTGTTTGAACAGGGTAGTATCAGGGCCTGGGGTTTTCAGCTCAAAAGTGTCTGATTTGGAGGAAAAGGAAAAGGAAACATAACCCAGTTCCCTGGTAGGTTGTCAATGGCTAAAAACCAGGAGTGTCCTAATGTTCTAGTTAAACCTGCCCTCCTTTCCTGGAATCCATGTGATTTGTGCTAAGGCCTCTCTCAGGTGACAGCTGCCCCTCTGTTCTCCTAGCAGAGTTTCTGGCTGCTTCCAGACTCCTTTTGAGGAAAGACAAAATAGTGTTTTTCACAGAACATGAAGGGCCATCTTGGGTCCAAGTTTCTTTCCCAATTAAACTGCTAGTGAGGAAAGCCAGGCCGCCTCCCTCCCATCTGTACCTTTGGCTGTTCTCACATATCCAGAACAGGAACCAAACCTGCCTCACAGGTGTGTGAAGATGCAAAGATTCCCCAGGAATTGAGCCTGACATTCCCTGGGCAGCAACCCCAGACACTGGTACTAGTGTTGGCTGGATTTTATAGCTGGAGGTGAACTGTCATGCTCACCACTCACCCCTGGGGCCCAGCATAGTGTCTGGCACGTGCAGTAAGAGCGCAATAAAAAATTTTGTAAATATAAAAATGAATGAGGCGAGGTTAAGGACCCAACCAAGTCCACACAGCTAGTACCTGAGGGAAGGGGAATTGGAAGCCAGGGCTGTCTGACTCCCATGCTGAGGTTGGAACCCCAGAGCTGTGTGGACTGGAACAAGGTCCAGTAAGAAAGAGCCCTTTACTTGAGCTACTGAAGACCTGCAGGCTCCACCCACATCTGACCCCATCCCAACTTGAGTCTGCATGGCTGAGCCTCCTCTCTGCTTCCTTAGCTAGCCAATGGTGCAGTTTTTCTACAACTTGAGCAGACTGACTGTAGCAAATCAATGTCTTGGATCAAGAACTGCCACCTTCCATCTGCAGGAAGGCTGCCTTTCAGCAGTAAAAGAAATCAATCCTTCCTGTAGTTACTTTAGCCAGCCTTCAGGGACAATAGCTAAGGCAGTGTCCCCTGCCCAGACTCGGGTGCTTCACCCAGCAGGGCACAGCAAGGGCATCTGACCAGGGGCCTCATGCCAGCTCTCTGGGGCACTTTCTGGAAGAAATAGTGAAACTGGAGGCTGCTGAAGGATGGACAACACCTCCAGTAATGAGCTGTGCCCACTCCAGCCTCTATGCCCACAGCTTGGGCAAGTCTTCCCATACTGACCAATAAACCACTCCACTGGTTCATGCTTCCCCATCAGGGGTGTCTCTCATTCTGTCCTCACTTGGGAGCCAGAAAGAACCTTTCTTTCCTCAGTAACACCATCCTTGTTTTCCCTGACAACAAGCAGAAACCCAGTCAGTCCCAAACACCACAGCAGCCTTAGGAAGCTTCTGGAAGTGGGGAGAAAAGCATCAATCGACAGCATCCTTTTCAAAGGAAAGGGCTGGAAATCGGCTTCTCATCAGCATCAAGAAAGATTTTCTTGTTTCTTTCCTTTTCTCCTGCTGACAGGCCATGGTCTACCTGCTCCAGGAAAAAGATTTCTTTTTTTGCTAATCCCTCATGGCAGGGAGATTGTCCCTCTGCCATTCCAGGAGCCTGGAAAGCCTGAACTTCATTTTGAAAAAGACCCTAATTCCCATGGAGCAAAGGGATCATGTGGTTCAGATATAAAATAGGATTTACAGGGGGAAAACATAAATAGCAAAGCAGCTGAGCACATGTAACCCCTGGGCCTCTCACCATCCCACAATTCAGGCCAAGTGTAGACAGTCTGCATGCTTTGTGGCAAGGTTCCCATCAAAGGGGCCCCATCCCTGGACCTTTGTGTCCATTCTCATTTTATACGCACAACAGTTATTTAATACACACCTAGCAGGTACCAAATGGATGGGATCTGCACTAAATGGATGGGAGATCCCAGCATGATGTCATTTAAATGTCACGCAAATGTCTGCTACCTTGTATTCCAAATTATCCAGCTTTCCTGGATAATTTCCTTTTCTTCAATTTGAAAAATAAAATGGATTGAGCATCACTCCCTCATTCCACTAAACTCCAAGATTTCTATGTGTTTTTGAAAGGACTCATGTCCTCATGGTCACCTCTCCACCTGGTTTCCCCTCCCCACCAGTCTCAAATAATCTTTGAGAGTTTCCTCCAGAAGCTCCTCTCTAAGTCAGTGTTCCTTCACTGCTCTACTCCCTCAAGGTTTTTGGCAATAGTTTCCCATTAGAACAAACTCCAAAAGATTGTCCACATTTTTATTTAGGACAAAGTCTCCCCTCACTGAATACTACCGATATAAATAGGCCATTGGGAATCACTGGGATGTAGAGACTTTCATTACAGTGGTGTTTGCTATATGAGATTCCACCCATGTTTGAAATTTTCCACTGGCGTCAAATTGAATTCCTTTCTCTGACCTTCTAGAAAGTGAGATGCAATTGCCCCAAAACATCATTACAATGTTTAACGATATGGAGCTAACTCCTCCCCTCCAAAGAAACAACTTCCCTTAGAGTTCCAGGAAAATCTGATGAAGACAAATAGTCATACACAATATTAGGAAAATTCACTGACCTCATATGCACATTAACAACTCAGATGTAGACAATACAATGTCTCCAAGCCTATCTCAAAGTAGTAAATTTTGTCCCCAAATATATATATGTTAGGTTCTTCTCCATATTATATTTTTCACAATGCCCACTCAGTTCAATATTCCCTGACTTTCAAAACAACATTCTATAAAAAGCAGTAGCTTTGTTATTAAAAAGAAAGAAAGAAAGAAAAAAAGTTGGAAGGACAAGTCTTCAGACGCAGTTTGTGCCTTGATTCAAAAGTGCTTGTCTTGGGCTTCCCTGGTGGCGCAGTGGTTGAGAGTCCGCCTGCCAATGCAGGGGACACGGGTTCGTGCCCCGGTCCGGGAAGATCCCACATGCCGCAGAGCGGCTGGGCCCCTGAGCCACGGCCGCTGAGCCTGCGCGTCCGGAGCCTGTGCTCCGCGATGGGAGAGGCCACAACAGTGAGAGGCCCGCGTACCGCAAAAAAACCAAAAAACCAAAGTGCTTGTCTTCAGCCATAGTGTCTAATGCTATCTGAGGAGTTCTTGGTCTCTTATGAGAATCTGTTGCCCACAGGAAAGGTCCTCAGACACTCACAAGCATTTCCAGCGTGTTGCATATCAAGGCCATTGCTATATGCCCTCCCAACACACACACACACACACACACACACACACACACACACACCCTCCTCTCAAAAAAAAAAATTGTCCAGCAAACCCAGTTCATATAAATCCTAAGAATCATAATTCAGACAACCTACTATATCCTAGTCACAAAATGAGTCTATAAAATGCTCTAAGTGACCTGTAGGACAATACAGGAAGTCACTGGGGCAGGGAACTGCTTACCCCAAAAGCATTTATGCAAAGGAAATGAAAGAGCGTTACAAGCCAAAGCACATGTGAAATGTCTACTCAATGCAAGACCTGCCCCTCAAGCTTGGTACTTCGTATCATTTACCTCAATTAAGTATGAGCATCTCACCTTTTAAGACTCTACAACCTATGTCACCTAACTTTGAGACCACCAACTATCCCTGGGTTCAGTCATCATCAAGAACCTGCTCAAAATAATCCAGCTCGTACTGGCTGGCGACACGTGAGCAACTGTCAGTGCACAAACTCATGTGCAGGGGGAGCTTCCGAATCCACTTCAGTTGGGCAGCTGCTTATCAAGGCTTTTTCCCAGAAGCCTATTTAGCCTAATGATTGTGAGTAGCAATGACTTCTGCTTAACCAGTACAGTAATCAGTGCAAATTCCCCCTAAATACCAGAGACCCATTTGGCAGGTGCCGAGTGATGCTTAACCAGATGCTAAATAGGTGTGAAAGCCTCAGTTCTGGTCTTACCCAGCTAGTTGCCAAATACATAAAGATGAAATGGGGTTCTAAGTATGCCTGGATGGATGAATTGTTTAAAACGTCCCTCTAATTGCTGTGACAGCCCCTCCCTGCATTTCTTGCCTCAACGAGTCCTTGTGAAGGCAGAGACAGCACCAGAGACAGAATAGAGCAAAAGTAAAGTCGATAGCACTTTGAAGTGTCTGCTCCCGATTCCCAGTTCCTCCTCTTTCCCAGCCCCCACTCAGCATTCCTTTCCTGGTCAAATGTCCTAATTTCTGCCTTTGTACGTAACAGCGGAGCTGCCTTTCATGCACTAAACAAGGGCTACCATCCCAGTTTGTACACTGCCTTGTCATCCATTCTGATGGGAAGTAAGATTGTGCCCCGGGACCAAAGGAAGGACTGAAGATAAACATTAAAGAGAGAGGACATTCCATATACAGTCAGGTGTATATGTGTAATTGACCCAAATAATACTCT